AAACAAGTTTCAGGACCATCTGACTTGTTCGATCCTTGACTTGTCAATGTATGTTGGATCCCCAAGGGGGAAAATATGGCAAGCAACATTTGCTGACCATATCTGACCACTGAAGCCTTTTTTTCACAGAACCCAGACTGGGAAAGACTTATCTATGGCACACATGCATACTCAGGAGAATTCCTCAATAAAAACAATTACATTGTTATTAAAGATATAGACACTGATTATACAAAGCTGAGTAAATCAAATTTGCCATTATAAAAACAGCTTAGAGGTTTACGGTGAAAGCTTTCTCCAGAAATCTTCCCAGCCCAGAGAACCTGCCTGTGATGGGAAAATGCTACTACTTTCCATAGCCCTGTTTAGGGGTTGGGAAGACTGGGGCCTGGAGGAGGGAGGGCCCATGGCAGAGTTAGTACCAGAGCCTGGCCCTGAGAAGGCACTCAGTCAGGCAAGAACCCCAAAGTGTAGGTCACTCAGAGAAAAAGTAGTATGCTTGGTGTTATATTCCAGAAAGCTCCAGAAGCCCAGTGACTAGGTATTCACTTTTGACTGGTGCTCACTGATGGCAACTCTGAGGGAGCAGCCCTTTCTGGAAAGTGCTATTTAAAGCAAAGCACCATTAGCTGGGCATTGTTGGCAGGAGCCTGTAGTCCCAGCTACTCAGGAAGCTGAGGCAAAGGGATTGCTTGAGCTCAGGGGTTTGAGGTTGCTGTGAGCTATGACGCCACAGCACTGTGACCCAGAGTGACAGAGTGAAACTCTGTCTCAAAACAAAAAACAAACAAAAGTGCCAGGACCCCAGGAAGGCAGAGGCAGAGGCTGATGAGCCCAGGTCTAAGGAAGGTGGGTGAGGAACAAGGTGGTACTCTGGGGTTTTCCCACTTTGTTGGTATAAGGTCATGGCTGTTAGGGGCTCAGATGCAGGAGACTGAAGAAGCAGGGGAGATGAAGAGCTCCCAGAGGGCACCCTTGAGCCAACAGTGAGCCTGCAAGAATTCTTGAGGGCAATGTCTATAGACCTCCTTCTCTCCAAGCTCCCTGGCTCCACTGGCCAAGCTGGTGTCCTGGCAGACAGTGGAAAGGAGCAGATGACCTCTGCAGACCCTTCCAGCGAGAGGCCTCTGGCTGCAGGCACCTAGTAGTTTCTGTGGTCAGCCCTCTGTCCCCAGTAAGTCAACCAGTTCAAAGGGGCCACAAGATTGGAGGAGTATACCCCTGCTGGACTGGGCTACAGAGGAGAGGGGGGACATTCTATTGAACCCAGGGACCTGGTGGTCCGCCTGGTCCCCACTTTCTCAAAGCAGGTCTACTCTTTGCAGCATCTTCACTGTGCAGCAAACAGCCTGCACTTGTATGCCTCCAGTGCCAGGAAATTCACTCTCTGTGTGTCTAGCCCTTAGCAAGGCTAAGGCATTGCTCAGGGGACCTGTTTTTGTTCCACTGCCTCAACTCTTATATACAGTGGAGAGATAGATGGGTTCCTGCTCAGGCAGCTGAGGGTCCCAAGGAGCAAACCTGCATAGAACCAGAGGCCAAGGTCCCTTGGAAGAACAAGGATGCATCATATGAGAATCACTCCCAAAGTAGAAATCATGGAAGTGCCCCTCACCTCCGTAAGTATGTAGAAAATGAATGAATGAATGAATGAATGAACACAAGAGCTTACATTTATTGAGCATCCCTGTGCCAAGCCCTGTGCTGGCCTTTGTTTCATCTGCACCATGACCTTGAGAGGTTGATCTATTATTATCCCCTCAGTTCAGGGATGTCCAAGGGTTTATCCAGGTCACACAACACAGGAGGGTACAGCCAGAACAGGAATCCTCTGACAACCTAGGTCAGGCCCATCAGGCAGCTAGCCTCCACAGGGACCGTGAGATCACCTTTCACAGTATACGCTGTGGGACAGGCTATCACAGCTCAGCCCCTGAGACCATGGACACTTCCTGGAGCCACCTCCAACCCCCTAAAAGCCTTGGCAGTCCATGTGGGGGAGATTTTGAGGTATCTGTCTTCCTTTCCCAGACTAGGGGGTCCTGGGGCCTGGATCCCACCTAATTCATCACTAGACACAAAGCAGCTGCTCAATAAATGTTTACTGAATGAATGAACACATGAAGAATAAACAAAGGAAGCAATGAATGAATGAATGAATGAATAAGTGGCGAATTGTGACCCGCTCCTCAGGTCAGCCTTTCACTGCCCTGTATGCACTAGCCACCCAGACACTGCCAGCACAAGGCTGCTCCTGCAGCCTCACTGCCAGGTGTGACACAAGCTCCCTGCCTCTGCAGGCTGGGGAGGCTACGGCTGTGCCGGAAACAGTGTGTTGTATTCCTCCTGGAAGGTAAGGTCCTTGAATCTCTGCACGGCCAGGGCTGCGGTCAGGCTCTGCCAGGAGAGAGCAGGGGGGAGGACAGTGTGGAAGAGCCAAAAAGGACAAGGTACCAGTGGGGAGGGTGGCTGTGGCAGGCCAGGCAGGCACCTGTCAGTCGGGCACAGTCCCACCCCCATCTCAAGCCTTACTGCTCCCAAACTCCTCCCTGTAGGCTGAGTGGTCCCCACTTTTGGGGTTCCTTCTCTGGAAGAAGATCCCCTGGGGTTACCTGGCTCTTCCTGCTCAGTCTTGAGACATCAAAGGCTGAAGCAGCCATGGCTGGCCAGCTAGGGCTTGAACCATGGGTCTCCCCCTTGAAACTCTAGCTCCCAATGTTGTACTGGGGGGTAGGTGTCCCAAAAAAGAATGGATATCCAGCGGCCCTCAAAAAGAAAAGAAGTCACCAAGGGCAGGCTGGGGGATAGTGAGGGACAGGTAGGGTTGGCAGCCTGTATGCAGCAGAAGGAGGGGGAGCTGCAGATATAGGGAAGGGAGAACCCTTGGGATGGGGCCATGAGGTGAGGTGACCTACATCTCTGAAAGCAGCAGATTAGGAGAGAAGCAGCAGAGCTGACCCTGTGGGAAAGAGGAGCCAGCTCTGCTACTGTGGGCCCTCCAGACCATGGGGCTAGGAGCTGCCAGGTGTGGTCTCTGGCCAGTCAGGCCCACAGACACACTTCCTATGGTCCAGACAGTATCTTAAAAACTTGAATAAAGGGCTGGGAGCAGTGGCTCAGACCTGTAATTCCAGCACTCTGGGAGGCCGAGGTGGATAGATTGCTTGAGCTTAGGATTTTGAGACCAGCCTGAGCAAGAGCAAGACCCCGCTGCTAAAAACTAGATGGGCGTAGGGTGGCGCCTGTGGCTCAGTGAAGGGCGCTGGCCCCATATACCGAGAATGGCGGGTTCAAACCTGGCCCTGGCCAAACTGCAACAAAAAATAGCCAGGTGTTGTGGCAGGTGCCTGTAGTCCCAGCTACTTGGGAGGCTGAGCCAAGAGAATAGCCTAAACCCAAAAGCTGGAGGTTGCTGTGAGCTGTGACACCACAGCACTCTACTGAGGGAGATAAAGTGAGACTCTGTCTCTAAGAAAAAAAAAGATTACAGATATGAGCCACTGTGCCTACGGCGCTCTACCGAGGGTGACTAAAAGAAAAAAATAGCCAGGCGTTATGGCAGGTGCCTATAGTCTCAGCTACTTGGGAAGCTAAGGCAAGAAGATTACTTGAGCCCAAGAGTTTGAGGCTGCTGTTGAGTTATGACACTATGGCACTTTACCCAGGGTACCAAAGTGAGACTCTGTCTCTACAAAAAATTGAATAAATTGGTGACATATAAAGATCAGATTACACATGAAAATTCTGATGGTTGGCTTTTCTGGGTCCACATTCCTTCATGTCAACAGGAGTCAAGCAGAGCATGCTCTCCTGGTTGCCTGGGCCCTGAGCATCCGACTCTGTGCCCCTGTTGGCCCCCAGATCTAATCCCCTCATTCTCCACATGAGGAGGCAGCAGCTTAGAAAACTAGCCGGTGTTCCTGACTCGTAGGCCAGCTCCTCCCAGCCTCTAAGCCTCGTCTTCCTGTCCAGACCTCTGCTTTCTCATCTGTAAGAGGATATAATAAACACTATCCACCCTGAGTAGTTGAGGGGGGGGTCCCTGACTCCCAAGGAGGCTGCTCTGAAGCAAAGCTAGGGTCTGCCTTCACCACATGACTGTCCTGGTGTCAAGGGCCACAGCCTCCTTTCTCAGGGAGTTGGCACTGCCATGAGTTCTGCAGAGACAAGTGTGGGCTCCAGGAGACAGAGACAGTCCCTGGTGATGCCAGAGGCCACCAGCACAGAGGTGTGGCTGGGGGAGGAATGTGGGCTCAGTGGGCGGCTATACTCACCCAAGTGAAGATGGAGAAAAAGGAGAAGGCAATGGCGGCGCGGGCCGCGTCCGTCCCTTCGTTCAGCGGGTTGTCCTTGGGCTTGGAGACCTGCCACTGGTTGGCCAGGTAGCAGAAGCCCACGAACCAGAGGAAGGCCCAGAAGGCTGGGATCCCCCAGGGCCAGGCAGAATAGCCACAGCACCAGACACGGGGAGAGGGTGAGTGGGAAAAAGCAGGGAAACCAAGGAGCAGGGGAAAGTTCAAGAGCATGTCTCCCACACTCCCCCACCCCCAAAGGGAGAGGCACAAGGATATGGGGGGTTGCCAAGTGAAGGTGCAGGCGAGAAGAGAGAGACCAGCCAGGTGCAGAGGGGAGAGGCCACAGAGGGCAGGGCGGGGCCAGGCAGAGGAGAGCCATGGGCAGCGAGAGGGGAGGAAGAGGGAGAGACAGAGAAAAAAGGCAATCAACTCAGGCCATGTGGCTCTAGCTCCTATCAAACCCCAATTTCCAGCCACATCCTGACTTGGGCCCCAGGGTGTACCTGAGGCCTGCAGCTCTCAGGGTGGAGGACCCCTGCCCCACCCTCCTATAGGCTTCCAGAGAATTGGAGCAAGGGAGAAAGAGGAGACAGGAGTAAGTCTGGGCCTTGACTTCTGGAGTGCTATAGCCTCACCACACCCTGAGTTTAGTGAGGGGCCCATTAAAAGCCAAAGGTTTTACTAGTGGGAGCCTATAGGTGCCCAAGGTCTCCCCACAGAAGCCCATAGCTGCTCAGGACAAAGTGTATATATGCCAAGGTGGTGGAGTGTCTGGGCCCGGCCCACCTCCCAAAGGCATTGCCGGGAACTCTAGGATTCCATGGAAGTTTGAGAACCATTCATGTAGTTCTATTTCCTTCTAGTCCTAGGGGCCCCAGGCCTTAATGCCTTGCAGTCAGACTCAGGCTCATCCAGAGACCCAGGCCTGGAAATGGGAGGAGGGCCTGGTTTAGAGATCCAAGAGCACAGCCTCAGATCAGGGAGGTTCTGCCCTTGACCAAAAGCATCTGCCCACCAGGTTCCTGGACTCCTTCCCAAGAGGTCAGCTGCCTCTGCCAAAGGCAAAGGGCTACAGGTCAAGCTGACTGCTAATTCTAAGTCCTGGTCCTGCTAGGTCTGGCTAGGATGGGGATGAGGGAGGCTGAGGCCCCCAGGCCCTACTGGGAGCTAGGGTTCAGTCACCCCTTGCCCAATTCTCATGGGGCCACACCAGGTAGCCACCGAAACAAGAGGTGATTCCTCAGGGCTAGAAGGTGCCCAGATCCATCTGAGCTGTCCCTGGAGCATGGGCTATTCCAGGGTCTCAGGCCCCATCCTGGTGCCACCCTCCCCTGTTGTCAGCCTCTGACCCTGTCTGTCCCTTCACCTTCCTGTACCTCAGTTTTCTCATTTGGAAAATGGGGAGAAGGGTGGCCGCCCCCTCCCATGGGCAGGACAGCCCTCTGCAGACTCTGTGCAGAGGGGCTACCTGCTGAGGCAGGGCTCACCCGAGACGCCAATGTCAGACAGGACAGCCTTCTTGCGGTCCTTGACGCTGCTGATCTGTGGGAAGTACACATCCAGGGCCAAGTAGAGCAGGCAGGTGAGGAAGGCGAGCACGCCCACGGCCACGCCGTAGCTGCAGGCGTTGGGGTTGCGGTTGTAGATGCAGAACTCCTCACTCTCCGAGTCACTGTTCAGGTAGCCCTCGTTCACAATGGAGCCAAACACCACGATGGAGAACAACTGCAGGCAGGGAGGAGGCGGAGCCTCAGACCCAGTACCAGCCTGGGGGAGAGGCAGGCTACCAACACGCCCTCAGCTTGCTGCCAGTCCCTCTGTGAGCCACAAGGACTGTGTGAAGCAGTCATTTCAGAGGGGAGGCCCAGAGAGGGAGAGCCACCTGCTCAGAGTCACACAGCGCAAGTGGGGTCAATCGCTTCCTTCCTCAGCAACAGGCACTGAGGACCGTCTGACCACAGATGTGGTCCCACCCACCACCCCCCAGCCAGGGTGAGTGGTACACCAAAAGAAGTCCTGATGCCAAGGTGTCCTAAAGCTGGACTGGTCCCCAGCACAAGGAGCCTGGGCTGTGAAGCTGCCAAGCCCCTACCTTCTAGGCTGACTCCAGATGCTGGCATGTGCACAGCCCCATCCTGCATGCCCCTTCCCTCTGCAGAGCCATGGGCTGGTCTGAGGTCTCAGACCCTATCCTGGTGCTTACCCAGGCCCAGCCAAGTGGATGGAGTGAGGAATGAAAAAACAACAGAGTCATGATCCTGCCGGGTACAGGGCACTCTGCATGATACTCAGGTGCTACGTGTGCTACCTCATTGAAGCCTTTAGGGGGCCTCTGTGGCTGGGGAGACAGCTAACTGAGATGGCCCCCAAGACTACCTCCTGCCACTTACAGGCTCTTGCACCCTACTTCTCCCAGGGCAGCTGGACCTAGTGATTGTTTCTAAAGGATGAGAGGTTCTGGCTTCCATCCTGCTTGCCCTCTCTTGTCCCCTCCCTGCTCACTCTGATGAAAGCCAGCTGTCCCATTCTGAGCTGCCCTCTAGGGAGACCCACATGGCAAGGAACCAAGAAAAGTCTCAGGAACAGAGCCCCTCAATCCAACAGCCCACAAGGAACCGAGTCCTTCCCACACCAGGAAAGTGAACTTGAGAGTGGGCCCACCTCCAGCTGAGCCTTCAGAGGAGACCATAGCCCCGGCTGGTGCTGTGGCTATTAGCTTTGTGAGGACCTTGAGGCAGTGGCAGACTCCTGACCCACAGAAATGGTAAGATAATGGATGTCTACAGTTTGAGGCACTCCGTTGTACACCAACGGCTAACAGGTGCACTCAGCACCATCAGTACCTCACAGACAAGCCAGCTAAGGCTAGGTGGCAGCTAGAGGAGATTTTTATTGTCCCTTTTCTACTTCTCTGTATTTTCCTTTTTTTTCCTCAATAAGAAAGTATAATTTTAATATGAGCCAGGCACATTTTCTCCCATAGTCAATGCCCAGGATGGGTAGTGATTCTAGTGTTGGAAAAAATAGGAGAAGCATTAAAATGATCTTATCCTTTTAATATGCCTATTGCTTACATGGATTTTATAATATATCCATAGGATATATTAGTGTAGTAGTTTTATATATATATATACCCCGAATCTAACTTATTAATTATTATTATTTTAAGAAACAAGGTCTCACTGTGTTGCCCAGGCTGGTCTTGAACTCCTGGCCTCAGGCTCCTGAGTTACTGGGATTACATGTATGAGCCACTGCACCCAGCTACATTTCATGGGAGCATTGACTCAAAAAGTTTTCCTTGCTGAGTGCAATGGCTCACACCTCTAATCCTAGGACTCTGGGAGGCTGAGCTGGACAGATTGCTTGAGCTCAGAAGGTTGAGACCAGCCTGCCCTGTCTCTACTAAAAACAGAAATATTAGCCTGGCAATGTGGCAGGCACCTGAAGTCCCAGCTACTTGGGAGGCTGAGGCAAGAGTACTGCTCAAGCCCAAGAGTTTGAGGTTGTTGTGAGCTGTGATGATGCCATAGCACTCTACCCAGGGAGATAAAGTGAGACACTGTCTCAAAAAAATATATATAGGCTCGGCGCCTATAGCTCAACCGGCTAAGGCGCCAGCCACGTACACCTAAGGCGGCGGGTTCAAATCCCCAGCCCGGGCTCGGCGCCTATAGCTCAACCGGCTAAGGCACCAGCCATGTACACCTAAGGTGGCGGGTTTGAATCCCCAGCCCGGACCCGCCAAACAACAATGACGGCTGCAACCAAAAAATAGC